TTTCTGGACAAGACCCAGGATATCACAACAATAGAACTCAGAAGGTCATCACACAGCCTATTACCCAGGTCATTACAACACAGGAGGCTGATAGACACACAGCCAATACCTCAGCCACACATGTTCTTATGAAAAAGCCAGCCAATCTGCAAACATCAACTCCATCAACCAATCAAGAAATGACAACACAGCCAACCTCCCCACCAGTATATATAGGGAGACGGCAGCTCCGATCACACTTTGCTCACACAAGCATGAAACCCAAAGCACCAGTCTGAAGATGGCAAGTGGGACCTCGTCATATACATTTGCATATATATTTACTGTGATGACCCGGGGCATGGCACAAAAGCAACAAAATAAAAAAAGTAGGTAAAGTCTCTTTAATTCCTCCAACTTGACCTCAAATGTCCAGTTATTGTCAGCTGGAGAAAAAAAACTCTCCCAAGATCAGTTTTTAAAGGGAAGAAATTTAGTCCAAACCAAAAGTACATATAAATTATAAATAAAAACCAACGCAAACCACACCACAGCAATTAATGAAACAGGGCAGGAGAAGGAATTGCAGAAGATAACGAAACATATAGTTGGGAGGACGCCAGAACCCAGATAGGACTTGACAAACAAAGATAACGCATGCTTTACTTCCAGCCAGGTGCTGTGCGCAAACGCCTTCGTTTAAATCCTGTTTTCCCAGCTGCAGCTAATGAAGGGAATCAGGGCCCTTTCCTCTCCCGTAAGCCAGGTTGGTCCCTTCTCCATTCCTCCCTGCATGCCCTAGGATGAAGAGGGGGTGGGCCAGGGTCTTCCTCTGAATGCCCAGCCAGACTTTGCCCTTCCCCCGTTTCCTCCACAGCCACCGGAGCCACACTCCCACTCCCTGTCAGCTGTTCGATCACCCCCTTGGAATCAGATTCCAACAAGGCCATGACATATACATATACATATACATATACATAAGCATATCAGAATTAATACATTCGAGAGAGTCCAGAGATATTTCACGAGAAGAGTCGTCCATTCTTCTGCTCACAACAGAATACTTGATGCCACCAGACTTGACATTTTGGGCCTAGACAACCTAGAACTATGCTGCCTTCGGACTGACCTAAACGTAGTACATAAAATTATCTGCTATGATGTCCTACCTGTCAATGAATAAATACTTCAGCTTCAACCACAACAATACACGAGCGCAGAATAGATACAAACTCAAAGTAAACCGCTCCAAACTTGATTGCAGGAAATACGACTTCAGCCACAGAGTGGTCAATGCCTGGAATATGCTACCTGACTCTGTGGTCTCTTCCCCAAACCCCCAAAACTTTAACCTTAGACCGTCTACTGTTGACCTCACCCCTTTCCTAAGAGGGTCTGTAAGAGGCAGGCAGAAGCGCACCAAAGTGCCTACCATCCCTGTCCTAATGTCCCCTTTTATTCATACCCATTTCATGTACTCATAATCATGTTCCTAATTATATCTGTTATCTAAAACATGCTTCAAAAATAAATAAATAAATAAAATAAATTTGCCTCCTTGCAGGAAACAGCCTGGTCAGTTTCAGCACAGCCTGATTTTAGCACAAGCAGCTGATTGTCGGTTGGATCGGTCTCCCAGAATACTGACTATCAGCTGTTCCAGGCTGCAGGGATCGCCACAGCCTATCACTGCCTCCACACATGCCATTTTCGGTCTCCACATACCCCATTTTTGGCCTCCACGCATCCCGTGGGGCGCATGGAGGCTGAAAATGGGGCATGCAGAGATGGCGATAGGCAATGGTTGTGCCTGCAGACTGGAACAGCTGATTGTTGGTATACCGGGAGGCCGATCCAACCGACAATCAGCTACTCATGCTAAATCAGGCTGTGCTGAAGTTGACCAGGCTGTCTGCTGTTTGCTGCAAGGAGGTAAACTGCTGGGAGGCAGAGGCCAAAGGGTGGGGGGCGGTGGGTGGGAGGGGCTTTGGCAACATTCGCTGTATAAGATGCATAGAATTTCCATCCACTTTGAGGCGGGGGGTGTCTTATACACCGAGAAATATGGTATTTCTCCATGGATGTTCCAGGGATAGGAGGGCCCAACCATTTTAATCTGGGTTCTTCCTTGCGTCGTTCAGGCCTCCAAGCCACCTCCTTCCTCGGCAGGTGAGTTCCTAGCCAACACACAACCCAAAGGGCAGGATTTGGAGCCCCGTGGCTGTGTCCACCATCTTGATTTTTTTTCCTTTTTACTCCTCTCCTCTTTGCTGGAGAATCGACCTTAGACCCTGCCCCTTCCCCGCCCACCCACACTTCCTTGTCAGTTTTGCTAAGATTAGCCACAACGTATTTGCATACAACCGCAACTTTGCACCAAGGCAGCAGTTGCGGCTCACAACCCACCCACTTCCTGCGTTTCACTCGGCTTCTGTTCTTTCCACAGCTGCCAAGAGGAATCAACATTTCACAATGCGCTCAGGTAACAAGCTCCCCCCCACCCCCACCCCCAAGAGACTGCAAACCCCCGCCACATAAGACAGGAAGATGTGCTGCACAGGCACACCCACCCACAGAGAAAGATGACAAAAAGCAAAAACACGCCCCCGCCCCCCCCCCCAAAATATATATATATGGAACCACCATAGCAAAGGACAAGAGAATTGATTTGAACACCTCCAGGGATAGATGTTCAGAAGATCAATTGTTGGCACGATACACACACTGCTAATTGTCAGGGGCTCCCGGGTTTTGGAGACTGGTGCACAGTCAGGATGCTCGGGGGTCGGGTGGGGTTGGCAGCGTTGATCAATTGAAGACTGGTCAAGTGAGATCCCAGAGGGAGAGCAGAGAAGAGCAACGAAGATGATTAGGGGACTAGAGGCTGAAACCGAAGAAGAATGGTTGTCAGAATTGGGTGTGTCTGGAGAGGAGAAGGACTAGGGGTGGCACGGTAGCAATCTTCCAGTACTTGAGGGGTTCTCATCGGAAAGAAGGGGTCAACCTATTGACCAAAGCACCTGAAGGCAGGACCAGAAGCAATAGATGGAAACTAAACTAGGAGAGCAGCCACCTAGAAACGTCCAGACAGTGAGAACAATTAACCAGTGGAACAACTTGCCACCGGAAGTTGGGGCTGCTCCAATCTCTTTAAAAAGAGATTGGAAGATCGCTTGTCTCGAATAGCAATAGACCTCAGTGCTTTCCAGCCCTCTCTAAGTGGTTTAGAGTCAGCCTCTTCCCCACAACAATTTGGGGTCCTTGTTTTACCCACCTCGGAAGGACAGAAGGCGGAGTCAACCTGGAGCCTGGTGGGAATGACGTAGGGTTTCCTGCTGAACAGGAGGTTGGATTAAAAGGCCCCCCAGGTCTCTTCCGACTCAGTTATCCTATATAACACTCTTGCAACGAACCACCAGGTCACGAGAGTGGAGGACAGCCCGTCCACTCTGCAATTTCTCCTCTGAGAAGGCTGCCAAACCAGAATCATTGTTAGCATAAATGTTTTGAGATGCTTGAGGCAGTTGCCCCTCACATTTTTTTTTTTAAAAAATGGAACAATTCCAAAATTTAGAAGGACAAGCGGGAAGCGGGCAGAGGAGAGGCAACACCAGCGTGGACTTTTAACCTTCTGATATCACTTATTTATTTATTTCTTAAATAAATTTGCTGCCCATCTTATCATGGGGCTGCTTAGGGCAGGGGGGACCCTAATAAAAATTGAAAACGCAACACCAGCAAAGCAATGAAACCATTAAAATAAATGAGGGAAGTGCAGTCATATGAATTACAGGATGGGCGGAGGAGGAACCGGAAGTGCAGAAGGGGAGGTGGGGTCAGTTAATGACTGATCATGAAAATAAATCCCAATATTCATTTTGGTAAAGTTCAACTGGCTCTAATTTTGCCCCGGCTGCAGTAAGAAGCTGTCAAGCCAGCAGCCGCTCCGCCGTTCATCTCCTGAAAACTGCAGCTGGGATAGGGTTGGTGTTGGGAAGGGAGGAGGAATCAAGCACAGAGCTAGTCTAGAGTCATGGTGCAACCAGAAAAAAGACCAGAATCAGCCATTCCTGAATTCCTTGGAGCCTCATCTAATTGATCCCAAGGGAAAGCTGCCAGAGCGGGGAGATTCCTATACGACAGGCAGAACACAATGAAGTAGTTAGCTTTTGCACTCAGCAGAGGTGGACCTGATCATTCATGCATGAGGGTTGGGTTGCAGCTCTTTTAAACCATTCTCCCTTCCGATTAACGAGGCCCCTGCAAATAGGCAGAGCCCTTTTACTGCTGAGCCATGGATAATTCTCACTAATGACCAAGTTTTAATCACAGGCTATTGGGTTTTCTTTCTTTTTTTTTTCTCTCCCAATTATTTGGCTACAGGTTCCTGAGTGGGACAAGAGAGATTTTCTTCGTACCCCTCCTTCTTCCTCCATCTCTGCTTTCCCCAGGACTGGGAACAGGGCACAAGCATCTGATTGCCCCAGAGTAAATAACAACCACAAAACTAGCCAATCTAATTGTTGCTTTTGTTCTGCTGTTTTCCCACTAAACCAGGAGTGTCAAACTTGCGGTGCCGTGTAGTTGTCACATTGTGTATCGTGACTTTTTTTTCCCCCTTTGCTAAACCGGGGGTGGACATGGGGCCAACATGTGATGCATCCAGCTGACAAGCTGCGAGTTTGACACTCCTGAACTAAACATGTAGTCCTTCCTTCTTTCCCCTCCTTCCTTTTCTCTATTTTTTCTTTCCTTCTTTTCTCTTTCGCCTTCCTTCCTCTTTCCGTCTCTCTTTTTCTAAACAAAAGGGAGAGTAGATGAACTTCTTACTGTGTAAGGAGATGAATTACAGCAAAATTAAAAACTGACAAAGCAAAAGCCTGTGAAATAGGGGAGAGTCGACGATATTAAAACATTGGGGTGGGTTTGTGTATGTGTGTGTCTTAGTGTGTTGTCTGGTTAGCTTATATGACACTGCGTGCTGTATAATCCAATGTCATCTGGTTTGATTAAGTAGCCAAGACAAATATTCTGAATCTGGCTTGTTGTAACTTCATTTTGTGGGTTGATGTTGTGGGTGCTTCATCAATGGAGATTTTTTTTCAGTCACTGGTCTGAAAATGGTATAGGGTCTCCTGCTTGAGCAAGGGGTTGGACTAGAAGACCTCCAGGGTCCCTTCCAGCTCTATTCTGACTCTGATTCTGGCTTGTGGTCCATGATCTGAGAACCTGAAGAAGGTCCTTTCTTCGTTCTCTTCTGACGAAAACTGACACCGTCCTCGGATGCTTTTCTTAGAAAGTTTGTACCTATTTTGCTTTTACAAGTTGTGCTTTGGAAAACAAGAATTCAGAGGGCAGATAGGCACCCACAACATCCTCTTGGGAAGCACAACAACCCACAAGCACAACCTGGCTGGGTGAAGGAGAAGGAAAATGTCTTGTCTTCAGAAAAGACATGGAAATTAACTTGGAGAGACAGAGGCCCGACAGAACGGAGGAGAAAATGGTCGGACTCCTAAGAAAATACATTTATTGTCAAAAAGATAGGAGGAAAAAAAAATGGTGCATTTTTTGGGGGGTGCAAAGCATTTCTGCCTGAATAGAAAGCAACGCCTACATTTATAGCTGGAACATGTTTAACATGTGTTAATTTCATTCCTCTTGTTCCTAAACAAGAAACACCAATGGGTTTAAAATAATGCTGAGACCTCTTTGGCTTTTTTGTTTCAGGCTTTGGAATGCTCACAACATGTACAGGGAAATGTTTCATTTTATTCCGGAACCAAAGGATCAGACAGGATTCATAACTGTGTGGGTTGTTTCGTTTGCCTGTGTTGTTTTGTACAAACTGGGGTTTGTTCTCTGTTACTAAATGTAGTATTTTTTTTTTACTTTGGTTGTACATGTCTTCTCTTGGGGAGGGAAGCTTCTTTTGTTTGTGCTAATTTTGAAATAAAATATTATTTGATTCAACTTGCCTGACTAACTGACTGACTTGTGGCCCACTTAATGAAGTTTGCACACAATCATTAAGGCTTTATTAAATGCACCTTCCTTCACTTCTGTTTCTGATGTTCAGCAATGAGCCCTTTAATTAAATTAATTGTCTGCTTCAGTGACTATCAACACAATAATTACTGTTGGCTCTTTTCAGCATCGCTTGGGAAAGGGAGACACCCTTTAGGAACAAAGAAATAAAAAGCCAAGCCAGAGGAAAGGAAAGGGAATTATATTTTCACTGCTTAATTTTATTTCTTTATCTTGCCCTAAAAAGGTTTGGCAGTTATCATCCCAAACAGTCACAACCAGCCCTTGAGTTCCACCAGGGTCCATCTGGATAACCATCACAATTTTTCTTTGCAGACATCGAAAACTCACCTAGGATTGATTCCACCTTAATAGGAAACCAGCCCAAGGTAAGTTCCTAAGAACGTGAAACAGAATCATAGGGCTTGGAAGAGACCTTGGGGGGTCTTCTAGTCCAACCCCCTCCTCACAAAGGTCTTCCAAAGCTCCTGGAATGGACCAAGGTGATCAGGGTTCTCCAACCTTGGCAACTTTAAGACTTGTGGACTTCAACTCCCAGAATTCCCCAGATGGCTGAGGAATTGTGGGAGTTGAAGTCCACAAGTTTTAAAGTTGTCAAGTTTGAAGAACTCTGGACTGGTCCACTGAAGTCCAAGTCACCCCCTTGAACTTGCCTCCTCCTCCTCCTCCACACACCTCATTCAGCTACTATGGAGGAGCTCAGATTCTTCTTGTGCAGGGGTCTTTAAACTGGACAGCTTTAAGACCTGTGGACTTCCACTCCCAGAATTCCTCCTCCAGTCATGTTAGCTCAGGAATTCTGGGAGTTGAAGTCCACAAGTTTTAAACTTGCCAAGTTTGAAGACCCTTATGATAGATGATAGATACATACATAGATTGATAGATAGATGATAGGTAGGTAGGTAGGTAGGTACAGAGAAAGAGATGATAGTTAGATAGGTAGATGATAGATAGGAGAGAGAAAGAAAGAGAGAGAGAGAGAGATCAGGGTCTTCAAACTTGACAGCTTTAAGACTTGTGGACTTCAACTCCCAGAATTCCTCCTCCTCCAGTCATGTTAGCTCAGGAATTCTGGGAGTTGAAGTCTACAACTTTTAAACTTGCCAAGTTTTGAAGACCCTTGTTCTTGAGTGTCACCAACTCAATCTCATATCTTCCACAAAGGGAAGGAAGGCCCCTTATGGGATGAAATCTGAAATGGCCGTCCGGTTTTCAAAGCCGAGTCTTCCTTAAGGCAAGTGGTGTCAACTCCCAGGATTCTCAATCATAGGTTTGTGTGCAGGATTGTGTGCCTGGAAATTGAAATCCACACTTCCAGAAAGACATCCCCTGTGTGGGAAAGAAAGAATACTCTTCTCAACGGAGTAAAACAGGGTTGGATGTAGGTCTTCTCAAAGGAGGATTTTGCACAAGGCTCCTTAAGAGCTGGAGGCCAGAAAGCGGGTGGAGATTCATATTTGGGAGACGGGCACCCACTTGCTGTGTGTTGCAGTGTGTTGTGGGTGTTCCTTGAGGCACTGTGGTTCTAAAGTTATATGGTTTTTTTTCTTTTTTAAGTCTGAGCCGTGTCCAATTTTGTGCCGCATATCCTACGGTTAAATTTTTCTTAAAAGGAAAGAAAAAACTGACTGATAACTTTCAGATAATATGGTAGGAAATGACACCTTGGCTTCTTTAAGAGGAAAAAACATGTTAGCTTTTGATCTTACGGCAAATATACAATTAAAAATAAATCTCACTAAAATTACTCATAGCTTCTTCATTTTAAATTTTCCAGAGGGACACTCACCATCAATGAACCTTGAAGTAAAGCTCTTGTTGGTCCAACACTGAACTATATCATCACTGCCTAAATCATTGGTGGCCCTTTGCCATAAAGAGGACTGTGGGGCTGACTCTGTAGCCCAAGGGTCTTCAAATTTGGCAAGTTTAAGATATGAGGACTTCAACTCCCAGAATTCCTGAGCTAACATGACTGGAGGAGGAGGAATTCTGGGAGTGGAAGTCCACCAGTCTTCAAGCTGTCAGGTTTGAAGATCCCCGCTGTAGCCACACGGAGGGTTAGAGAGGCTGTGTGATTTTGAAAAAAATAAAGGAAAGAATAGAATAAAGCCAAGTAAAAAATAAAATAATAAGTAGAGTGGAAAGTGAAAGTGAAAGTAGCAAACAAAAAAGTAACAATAAAATTAGGTAAGGTGAGTATAGTAAAGAATAGAAAGTGAAAGTGAAAGTAAAAAATAAAGGCAAGATAAAAAAGGAAAATAAGGTAAAGTAAGGAGTATAATAAAAAGTAAAGTAAAAAGTGAAAGTGAAAATAAAAATTAAAGGTCAGGTAAAGAGTAGAGTAAAAAGAGTATAAAATGAAAGTGAAAGTAAAAAATAAAAGTAAGGTAAAGTAAAAAAAAATAAACCGATAAGATGAGTGTACCAAAGAGTAGAAAGTGAAAGTAAAAACCAAGGTAAGATAAAGTAAAGGTAAAAACTAGAGTAAAAAATGAAAGTGAGGAAAATAAAGTAAACTGAGATAAGGTGAGTATAGTAAAGAGGAGAAAGTGAAAGTGAAAGTAAAAAATCAAGGTAAAGGGTAGAGTAAAAAGTAGAGTAAAACTGAAAGTGACGAAAGTAAAGTAAGGTCAGGTAAAATAAAGTGAAAAAGAAAGTAAAGTAAAGAGCAATGCAAAAAGTGAAAGGGAAAGGAAAAGTGAGGCAATATAAGGTGAAATAAAAAATGAATGAAAAGTAAAAGTCAAACAAACGAAAAGGTAAAAAGTCACATGTAAGCTAAAGATAAAGAACTAAAATAAAATAGTTTACCTGTCTATGCAGGTACCTTGGGGTGAATCACACACACACAAACACACACACACACACACACACACACACACATTGCTGTAACCAGAGTCGGAAGAAGCAGGAGACCATCTCTCCCCATAGCATCTACTCCCTTTCAGTTCAGAATTGCTGAAAGCCTGGCAGGTGACAATAAATATTTAACTTCTCTCTCTCTTTTTTAAAACTCCTAGGAAACCAGGAGGAAGACAAATCAGCCAGCTAGAAGAGCCGCAAAGAACATCCAGGAGATGCCCTACACGGTTTATGCTTCTGTGCAGCATCCCAAACCGGTGGGAAATATTTCTTGATTATTTATTTATTCAATTTCTATGGCTGCCCAATTCACACATCGATGACTCTAGGTGTCTCACGACATTAAAAATCACAACGGAAAAGCTCCTTCTCCCTTCAGGGTTCCCAGGAGACCACCGATAGCACCATATTGTTAGGGCCTTTCTGAAAAGCAATGGGACAGGGGACAACTATAGCTATAGGAGAATGATGCGCCCTAGACAAGGCGCCAAAACCAAGAAGGCCATTTTGCGATACTCCTACCAGACGTACATCCCGAATTGATGGGACCCATAACCCACCTCGACTTCCCAGCATGGTGGGCCGGGTGTTGTGGCCCGCCAGCCACCAGCAGAGTGGGTGGCAGACTCAGAGAAGAAGGAGGTTGGGAAAAAAACTTGGGTCAGTTCTGGAGCTCAGGGAAGGCTCTGACGGATGGTCAGCATGAGACACAGAGATAGAGTCAGGGCCAGCCAGCATTTGCCAGCCAGAGAGGCAGCTGCCTTTGGAGTCAGAAAGAAGCGAGGAGGAGGAACAGCTGGGGCCTGTTCCAGATATGCATATGCTCAGAGCAGATAAGAGAGGTGAACAACAGAGGACAATGAGTCATCTCCGGAAGCCAGACAAGGCTTGTAGGTGCTGACTGGCCCCTCCCTGGCTGGGGAATAAATAGGAGGAAAGGGCAGTGGTTTTGTTGTTGCACACAACTGTTTGCATTTCTCTTTGTGTGTTTTGTGAGACAAAGACCGCCTTGCCCGAACTGAGGTTTGTCTATTTCTCTGTTTGAACTGACTTAATTTGAAACTGGGAGCTCACGGCCTTGCCTTTATCATAACAAGCTGTTAAGGAGTAATGTTTCAGTTAACCTCATGCAGGATTCTTGCCTGGACTTTCTGTTGGGGAATGCAGATAGAATAGAATAGAATAGAATAGAATAGAATAGAATAGAATAGAATAGAATAGAATAGAATAGAATAGAA